CACTGAAAATAAGATGATGTTTGCTTTAAATGTCTGTGCTAGTATCCCTTAGTCAGGCTGCAACTGCACACCATGATGCAGTTAAACAAAAAACAGCTGCCTAGACTTCCCAATCCTCTAAATCCTCTCTCATTCCCTTAAAAAGGTCCCTTCTAGAAAATGAATCTGCATATTAGCTCCAATATGTAATCAGCTATACGATCCTATAGGCATTGAGACGTGATAATGAGCTCTCTCTCCATGGCAACAGTTAAATGTTAATCTCAGTAATGACGTTGCAAAATAAGAACTGTCATAGGAGTTTGGCATAAAATCAGGAAGAAAAAAGACTTGAGCAGCTTTAAGACAAAATATGACGGAAGTACAAATCTGGAATAATTGCAATATTCTCTTTATTCATCCCGGCTGCTAGTTTTCTGTGTATTCATCCATTTATCTATTTATTTATTTTCCGCTGACTATCCAGGAGCGACCGGCAGCAGGGAGAGTTAAATAGCCCAGAGGGTGTAATCATTACGCAGAATAAAACTAAACATACAGCTGTGAGCTACTTCTTCATTTCCTTTGTGCATTGTTGCAGAATAATGTCCATCAACTATACCTCATTTCGTCTTTTTCCAGGGTGAACACACTATGTACTAAAAAACAACTACTGAGCACGGATGTGTGGCACTTTATAACAGACTAATGTGTTTTATGTTTTCCATTCCTGTATATTGATAACATTTTGATTTAACATGTCAACCATCCACTGTAGAAAAACAGCTGGCCCAACAAAGTTTATTCTTTTAGATTAAATCCTCATTTTGTATTCTTTGATTGTAAACAATGTCCATGAAACAGACTTTTTAATTCACTTCAGTTGTTGAGATTGCACACGTACAGATCTGTTAAACAACCTGTCCAAACTGTAGGACCACAACTCGCCCCCAGGACAAAACTTACTTTACAAATTTAAACCATACTGCAAAAAGCTCAACATTTCCAGTTAAAACAATATGCATCTTCAGTTTTCATGTTTCATGTCTGTAATTGTATTAATGATTTACTCATGAATCATTTATAAATGTTTTCCTAGATTTGTGGACATTTTACGCTCTCTTAAAAACATAAAATTAAACCACAACCATTTCAATTACTTATTAAATATCCCTCAAACACATACGTATGTATGGGTTTTTGGAGGGTTTTCTTTAAAGTGGACCTATCATGCTATATTATAATAATATAGTGTAGGACCATACCTATATAAGGCATATTTATACTTTTTTTTTTTCAAAATACCAAACAGATCATGCATTTTAGCCATGCCTCATTTCGCTCTATTTGACAATTTCTAGCTCTGTTTTTGCAAGGGCTGATTCTGTGAGAACAGCACCACCTACTGGCCTGGCATATGTACTACAGCGTCTCCAGCGCTTTCGAACGGCAATGGCCGTGGCTGTCTCCTCCTGATTGGTGGAGTTGGCCCAATAGCCGTAGCACCACTGTCCTGACGTCAGGACAGTGTTCAAATCTGGATCAGTTTTTATCAGATCCGTTGCAGCCCCTTTTTTAGAGATTTGGGTATGGAGGAAAATAGAGAGGGTTGTGTTTTCTGACACTTGGTGAGTTCCCTGGAACACCGGGGACACATATTCATGTATAAAAGACGTACAAAAGTGCATTTTGCATGATAGGTCCCCTTTAAGGTATTTGTAATGCACAATGTGAGCTCTTTAGTCATCATAGCATTCACAACACTAAACCTTTCCCAGATCTCTTTGTGCACCACACATTATTTCTTCCCTAAAACTAATCAAATTGAATAAGAATACCGTTGTTTCTTTGCAAGAGAACTCCACAGGGTCTCTTTTATCTGACTATTACAATGTAACTATAGCTGCAAAACAATGGTGCGAGAATTATAAAGTAGCATAAAATGGATGGACAAAAAGTAGAAGTACCTCAAAATCGCACTTACTGTATACTTTGTTTTTTTTCCATCACTGATTTTTGGATTGACGGCTGTTGATATTGATGATTAGTGAGGCATACATATAACATTCTGCACTTTTCAACAGCAACAGTTTAATTTAGGTGTTGTAGTTTAGAAAACCAAGAACAAAAAGAGTGGTTTTTGAACGCATCTCTCCGGGCCTCAGCGTTGTCTTATTCAACATCTAACATCTGGACTCCTTGCTCTCGTTGCCTTTCTCAACGTTTTTTGCAGGCATATGTTCTCGAGATATCACCTTTTATTTATCCAATGAAAACATTACAGTGCAGAGTATAATGTGTCCTATTATGGGTCATTTGAGCTGTAATTAAATTGTGCAGTAGGCGCTGAAAAACAGTTACATCTGTCAGACTGATGTTGTAAATAAGCACATAGAGGGAAATGACGTTCTTCTGGGTTTAGTAGGGACAGTTCCATGAGGAAATGAATGAATTACGGTAAGCATATCATCCTAATTGCATTTGTGATATTTCCCCGGTGTCTCTAATTTGCCTCTATTCTTCCCACAATAACAAACAGAAATACACACACAAGCAAAGACATCTTCTGTCCTCACCACCGTTCTCTCTCTGCTGATCTCAAAATGTGCCTTTTCTCTTTCCTGTTGTGTGTTATATATGTTTTTGTGTAAGTAAATAGTCTGTAAAGGCTCAAATTGGACTCCTTTATTACTTCTGTAACATCACTGTGACATCACTATGTAACAGTCGCGCTTCTATTGGCGAGCACTCCAAAACATTGTACTTAATAGGTTAAGAGGCGGGACATTTATGGTTGACCAATCACAACAGAGCCGGCCAGCTAACCAATCAGAGCAGACTGGGCTCTGGTTTCAGACAGAGGGTGAAAAGAGGGGCTGCAGCACAGGCAGAGAAAAATAAAGAGCTTTTTGAACATTAAAGCATGTCACAGTAGACTCACAAAATTCAAATAGGAACCTAACATTTGCATAATATGGCCCCTTTAAATAGATGCAATATCAGCAAAAATAGCCTTCTAATTATGCATAAATGTGTTACACTGTATTTTTATGGAGAATTATTAATGATGCAAAGGGGAAGGTACAATTAACTTTTTTATTCACTGTTTTACGAGTTTATCAAGTACCAGAGGAGTGCCCAGGATACTGAATGCACCATTGGGTGATTGGAAATTGTAACCACACATTGTGTCCTTTAAGTGTCCTTAAATACTGAGGATAATAATTGTCTTGTCCTAAATAGTGGCTATGTCCCCGATGATAGTTCTATGTTTTTCTGCAACAAACTGTATCTAAAGGTAAACTGATGGTGCAAGGGTGGGTAGTGCAGTACTTCACATTTTTATTGAAACTGAAAATGTTATTCATCGCCCAGGGTCAAGCTGTTTTCTATTATTTTCAATGTATTTGTGCTACTTTGTACATGTTCTGAAGTTATGTGATGTGAAGATGATTGGAACATTTCTTTCAGAATGACAAAAAATATCCATTTTGATTTAGTTAAATCTGATCACTTTGATGATACTTGGTGAAACTTTCTTATAGTTAAAGTATCAAAAATAAAAGTAGTGATTGTGCATCCATTTCAGAATAATATATATATGATATGTTTTATAATGATTGATCATTAAAGTGTTATCAAAGCTGGTAAAGGTGCAGCTAGTTTTAATGACTTTGTATACTGCAGGGTAGCTTGTGAATTTACTCCAGGTGTAACTAAGTCTGATTTAAGAGTTCATTATATTTCACATAATTAATCCAAATCTGTAAAGTAACTAAAGTTATTAAATACATGTAGTGGAGTGAAAGTACACCATTTACCCCTGAACTGTAATGGAGTAAAAGTACACAGTAGCACATGTTAACAGTAACAAAAGTACCTCAAAAGAGTGTAATGTAATGTACTTAGTTACTCTCCTGATCTGTAAAGCTCTCCCAACATAATGCAGGTTAGCATCCGGCAGTTTCTATGTGCTGGGGACCCGTACTGTACATTTATATCATAAAACTTTGGGGTCCTCAACATTTCTGGGTTCACAGCAGGACTCTCTGAGTTGCAGACACATTATTTCTGTGAGTTTGTTCCAGATATTTGGAGCATAATAACTGAAGCTGTTTCTCCATGTTCAGCAACTCCGATCCCCCGAGTCCTGCGGCAGGAAGCGGTCCTTCTCTCCAAGAACTCCTGGACCCAGGCCTGTAAGCTGGTCCAGAACCAGACTCCCAGTGAGGTTAATGCATAAGCTTTCAATACAAAATAGTTTTTGAGATGATACAGTGAAAGATCTCTTCAGTTGTGTTTTTCTCTCCACCAGCAGCACACTTTGCTCTTGTTTTAAAATGTGTAGTCCAGGGGTGTCCAAATGTTTTCACCGAGGGCCACATACAGAAAAATATACGAAGGGATGGGCCACTGAAGTGAGGTGAGGTCTACTGCCTCATAAGTTAAGTTTTAAGTCAGCAAAATAAATCAAATGTGGGTAAATTATGCTTAATACTTGAACACGCTTTAAGAAAAACAACAGCCTACATCACAGCTCTCCATAGGGTTTCATTTGTTTTGTTAGCAGCTCATTCCTTAAAACAGAAGCCTCAGATTAATTATCATAAGAGGAAATAGGAAGGGTTTATTTCAAGCTTGTTATGAAAATAAGTTATTGGGCTTTTTTCTTATCAACTTAGATTTTATAGAAAAAAATGTCAACTTGAATTGACTGCATTTGTTTGAAAAGTGGGCTTCTTAACACATACTGAAATATCTGTTTGTATCTATATTTAAGAAGTACAATACAAGAAAATCACAAGTTTCATCTGTGGCCATACTCCATTATTCTTTTTGTGTAATACACCACGTCCCCTCTGGAAAGAGTCTTTGTTCCAAAGTTTAATCATCGACAAGTTACAAACCACTTTTACTCTGAGATTAACTTTGAAACTCGATTATAATATGAAACCCCGAGCAATTAAATGATACATGTACAGTAAGCCACAATGAGAGTTCCACAGACCAAAAAGCACTCCCATGAATGGTTTATGAATATAATAATTACAAAGCTGCATACATTGTTCATCCATCCAATTTCTTTTGTGTGTGTAATGAGCATTTCAAATTTGCTATGCATCCTCTTGTCTTTGAGAGGGTCCGCTTTCTTTTCTCCCTATCAATCAGATTCGTTGCACTGTGGCAGCTGTAGCCCATTAGGAGCTTTGTCTGATAGAGGAAATGTAAAAATGTGTTCATAATCAACCTCACACGTTCGAGAAGCACTTTATGAACCTATACTGCCATCTCCTGGAACAGCATCTAATCTCTTGTCAAACATTATAACAATGTTTTCATGATGTTTCACTCAGTGGTTTTATGCTACACCCTTAATCAGCAATGTCATCTACAAGGGCTTTTATCTGCGCTTATTTCTCAGCTTTCTTGCACATATTAAGCTAACTTAATAATATAGTGTATGGAGCAAGTCAAAGTCCTGCATTTATAATCCTAAATACAGAAGTATTGTCAGGAATATGTACTAAAAATGTAAAGTAAAAAAAAACATTCTACAGTAATATTGCTTGTTTATATTAATTTGAATGGTAATAATAGAGGAAAGCACACTCAACGTTCTGCAACACCACATGTCAAATATTGTACAATATTACCTCTCTGGGCAGCTGTATGTATCTGTGTATAATGTATGCCCGGTTGGAAATAGCCTACTATGAATTCCTGGGTGCATATGTCTCTGCAAAGCTATACACCCTGTAAATAGCTAATGTGGCTAATTTGGCTGTATAATAACTAGTGTCCAACATGGCAATGGATTCACTTACATTTAAAATGTTTAAATCAAAAGCACATCATGTAGATAAATGACTACGGATAACTCCATCCATCAGTCAAAGATCCTCTCTTTTCATCTGCTCTTATCCCAGCACACATGTTGACGTGTCTTAGGAAAACACAGGTGTTACTAACAGCATTAACAATGGCTTTGTTCTGCTCCCTGTTAACCATGACAGTGCGACAGAGAGCCTGAAATTAAAGCAGTAAAAGGGAATTCAGCCATAATTTATTTTATTATTCACACCTGTTTTTCGACTGTGACATGTCAACATGTCTCCTGTGGGGAAAAAAACATGCTGTCCTCCTTTTCCTCTGATTGCAAAGCCTAGTTTTATCAAAATGTTAATCTACCTGTCTCCTTGGCAGATGCAATGTATTGTTAGAGAAAAAAAGACGGGCATTTTGAAGGGATTTTCTTTCTGTTGATGGAAAAGGATATTTTGCAGTGGTGGTCTAGTAGCCGAGGGGTCTAAAATGTTCTAACCTGCAATGTTCCCAGCTGGGGATTATTATTGCATCTCTTATTGCTTGCTGTCATCGTTGTACTTCTAATGAAGAGACAAACCCCCTTAAAATAAAATCCAAATCACATGAATCTAAATCTAATTACGCATAATTGCCCAAATAACACATAAAACTAGGATCCTTATGGGTAGTGAGAACACAACATTCACATCATTACCATTTAATCTGATTCTGCGAACGTGTTTACAACCAATCCCTCATTTTCACATCCAGCAACGACATCATCAATCATTTGGAGTCTTGTTTGTGTCCACCTGATCTCTTTTATTCTCTCTTTTTGGAGGTCTTGTTGGTCTCTACCGACTCCTGAAGGAAATAACTTCTTTTTAGTGGCTACATGCTCCACTGTGTTCAGCAGGCAGTCTCTAACAAGCCTGTCTGCGGTCTGCTACTGAGCAGCTAGTGTACAGTTAGAGTTTGTTTGTGCAGAAATGTAATTGCCTGTGCGGTGAGCGATGAAAGGTCAGTTATAACTGTGTTAACACATGAACTCTCTCCTCCTCAGTGTCCACCAGAGGCCCAGCAGCATCAATCCAGCACCAACGCCCGCCAGGCTCAAACTGATCAGCACCTGTGTGTTCAGACACAACAAATGCACAGTTGAGAAGAAGGATGATTATAGGGCTGCCCTATAGCATGGTTGAGCTATAGCCCATGTACTAGGGCTTGGTCCTCATGCAGAAGGCTCAGGCTCAAAATCGGCCTGGGACCATTTACCCACGCCCTCTGGTTTCCCCTTTCAACACTGTCACTTCAATAAGGGCACTGGTGGCTCCAAAATAAAGGTGGAAAAAAAGAGATCATTATACACGATGAAATAATTCTACTGAATTTAGTTTTATTAAGTGCTTTGAATCTGTGGACAAGCTGTTTTTCTAAGGGCTTTACAACAATATGTCAGTCATCTTGGGCAGCAGTAGCTCAATCTGAGGGGCTTGGCTTGGGAAATGGAGGGTTGACAGTTCAAGTGCAGACTGGTGCCTGGAGAGGTGTTCATTTGCCTATTGGGGGTGCCAAAATGCCCTAGCAAGGCACCAGACCTACACAGTGCTCCCCATAGGCACTGTATATAAAATAGCTGGCCACTGCTCCTAATAAAATGGGATAAAGGCAGTGTCTTATGTTCACTGTGTGTGTGGGCTACTTGCTTGACGATTAAAAGAGGATTCACAAAGTCTTCCATTTGAAGATAATAGTACTTGAAACAAATCCCCTCAAATTATCTTTAGTGTATGACTGCTTCCCCAAATCCATCCCATCCTGAACCAAACCGTACAGTGTAAATCAGAGGCGTTCTCTGGTCTGACTCGGTCTGGTTCTGCTTCTGGTTTCCAGAGTCCCACTGGGCCAGAGAGCTCTCGTAGTCCAGATTGAGTACAGAGAAAGGCAAAACCCGGATCCCCCAGTAAACCCTCTTCACCCTGCGGAAGCTGGCATCCTGCACGACACAGCAATAAGTACCTGAAATATAACATGATTAGGTGATTAATCGGCGCTTTAAATGATGTCCTTTCATTCAACAGGCAGGAGGTGTGTTTATGTCTGTGTGTGAACGTGCGCCCCTGACTTTTGTGTGTTTCTCTTTGTGGGAATGTCTTGGTGAGAATTTCAGTGCTGTTTCGAGGATATTATTGTGAAATTATTAAATGTTGAAACTTTCTTTGTCTACCGTATAAACACCATAGACATTACTTTTAAACCTCACCTGAAAATGATGCTACTTTGCTTGTGCAGCTTCATTGTGGCCTTATATAAAACAAGTGATACCAAAGGCAGCACATCAAATTACTTCTGACATAACATACTGTATGTTCTGGTTAGCCTTTGAGAGTAAAAGTAATGTGTGTTTAAAATAATTCTTATACATGCACCTCTGCTTAGAAATGGAAAACTAAATGCAGGTTCTGTGTGAGCACATGCATCAGAGTGTTTACCTGCGTCCTCCTCCATCACAGGGTCCAGAATCACACGGTCCAGCAGAGGGGCGTTCCAGCGAGCAAACAGAGTGTCGTCAGAGCTGATTATTCCTCGGGCATAACGCCATGACACCCTGAGCCGTTAAAGAAAACATCACAGTGAGCAGAGCCCTCTGTCAAAGACCTGCCGCAGTTACAGGTGGTTCTGCATCTATGGAACAACCTCAACTTTGGCAAAACAAGCACATTTCCTTTAATTTTAATCCCACCTTTAAATGGCAGAAAGCAACATCTCAATAACAAAAATTACGGTTGTTGCATCAGTCTGTTTTAGTCCCATTATTGGGCTACAAATGTATGCATATAAAGTGCATTTGTACATGAACATAGACATTATTCCGGGTATTCCAGGTCCGTTATTCCGGGTAATACATTGTTGGATACTGTCCCGTGGGCCCTTGACTGTCACAAGGCCCCTACGGATTGAATGTTTTCAGGCCTGTTTGACCTCTGACCCCCACCAGCATCACTGATGGGTGTTGGGTTTATTCAGAAGTGCTGCACCTTTAACCCCACCCACAAGTGATGTCACAAGGTCATGGAGTACACCTGTCCTGTACATCACAACAAGTTCACAACTGGAGGGCAGACAAAGACGATGTTCAGATGCTGTTTAGTTTCTCACTGAAGTGGTTCCTATATGTTTTCCTTATTCCTATTTGTAGTATGTCTTAAAATCTAGTTTTGATACCTCTATCAATAAGTCAGTGATTATAATGCTTAATGCATATTCTAAAATACAATTTACATTTATAGCCAAACTGAAAGGGCTTTTTATTGGGCAGGCTGAATAATGGCCCACAGCTCAGTTTTGCCTTGGGCTGGTTAACACGCTTCAAAAATGATTACAAAACTTTTCATTTTATTCTGCAATAGATATCTAGTTTTTCAGGATGAGACTGTGTTATATATGTAACATGACAATTGCATGATTTCTTCCCCCCATGGTTTGCAATCAAAAGACATGAATCAGTCTCCTCCTCATCCTCACCTCCAGGAGAACCTCCCCATCGCCTGCATCACTTCTCCCAGACAGTCGATCTCCACTCTCTCTCCTAGAGTCACAGTCATGGTCCTGAGTCCACACTGCCACGACTCCAGACAGCTCAGCTTACGCACACGACACTCCTCCGACACCTGTCATTAAGAAATGTCCACATGCAAACAAAAACAATTAATGTAAAAGATCTCCTATCATGCTATTTATATTAGGGGTCTCAGATATATACACATATATATAAAACCTGTCTATTATGTATGTTGCTCAAAATACCAATCAGATCATGCATTTTAGACATCCCTCATATCCCTCTATTGCAGCCCTGTTAGAGAGTGGCTGATCTGGGTCCTTGGTTTAGGATTATTTCTGAAACAGTATGGAGCTCAAATGCTTTTTCTCTTGCGGGTTTACCAGGTGAGTCCTTTTTATTATTTCCTGCTTTTTTACACATACTCTCTCCAGTAAAGGTTAGCTCTGAGCGTTAGCGATGCTTGCTAATGTAAACAAAGACCTATTACGTCCAAAACCGATAGCAACGTTTCTGATAGTGCCGTGGGTGTAGCCCACATTTCCGATATTACGTCATATCGGACACAAATCTGGATCAGCTCCGTTGTGCCCCCGTTTTTAGAGATTTCGGTACGGAGGAAAAGAGAGAGGGTTTTATTTTCTGACACTTTGTGAGTTCCCTGATACACCGGGGACGCATATTTATGTATAAAGGACATTAAAAAGTGGATTTTGCATGATAGGAGACATTTAATGTAGTTATTTTCCTTCTTACATTTCTCAATGATTTTGTGTTAGATGTTTGAGACGACTCCACAGTACCTCTGTTCCATCTTTACTTCTCACATCTTCTTCCATGGCTTTCTTGCCATCCTTCAACAAACACAGGGTTTGAGTTTTAACTCCCAGCCCACAGGTGGCGCTGCAGGGGGAGCTGTCAACAACAACCTCCACCGACACCTTATCCACCTCCTCCAGGTCAACTGAGGTCACAGGATGAAGGAGGAGGAGGAAGAAGAGGAGAAACCTGACAGTCACATGTTGCATGTTTGTGTTTGATGGTAAATCTGCAGGAAAGAAAAAAGTGTTTTTTAATGTCACTTAATGCACAAAGTTAAGTATCACAAAGAAGGTTGAAAGAAGAATGAACTTGTTTATTTCTGTAAGTGCAGTCAAGATGTTCAGGTAAGTTTGTTGATTTATTTTAATTTAAATTGCATCTCTGGGTAACATGCTGCCAGAATTAGTTTTCAAGATGTATTATCAGATGTCAAAGCATAATTGTTTTCCAATATACAAAATAACTTAGCTACATTTAAATGAATGTAAAACTACTTACCCCCCTGTGTGTGAAATGTAAGAAAAATACAAAATAAATACAAAATAAACAGGTAAAACATGAGGATTTCAAACTCTTGCAGTTACTGGGTTTGATTATCAAATGTATTTTTTGTTGTGACAACCAGAGTTCCAGGCTGCAGGTTCCCTTCTTCTGTCGGTCATAATGTTGACATATAACATCTGAGACTTTATGTAAGGGATAATGTGCAGCGATGAATGTCATTTTAAATCAGTTACAACTATGTTTTTAATCATTAAAAACATTTTCTAAATCCATAAAAGCATTTCAATTAATAGTGGGAGTCATATCATTACTTTGTTGAGAATGTGGCCATGTAATAAGCGGGATAATGTGCAGCGACGCGGTCATTTTCAGCCAAACTGTACACAGTTCAATCGACCGGACTTCTTTCTGCAGATTTGAGCGTCCTTAACAACGGTCATAAATCCTTGACAGCGGTCTGTCTGTTCTGGATTAACAACGTGTCACGTGTTCTGAATTGACCAATCAGAATCGAGTATTCAACTAAACCATGTAATAAGTAAGGGATAATGTGCAGCGACGCGGTCATTATGGGTAAAAGAACACCGACAGGCTGATCAGGAGCCCGACGCGAAGCGGAGGGATCTAGATCGGCATGAAGGTGTTCTTTTACCCATAATGACCAAGTCGCTGCACATTATCCCGCTTATTACATGGCCACATTCTCAACAAAGTAACGATATGACTCCCAATATTAATTGAAATGCTTTTATTGTTTTAGAAAATGTTTTTAATGATTAAAAACATAGTTGTAACTGATTTAAAATGACATTCATCCGCTACGAAAAATAGTCCGTTGTTGATGTTTGAACTAGGCTGTTGCAACGGCAGGAACTGCTTCGATAGCAACTAACTCTGTGCATGTTAGCATTTTAGCCTTAGCTGTAATTAACATTAACCTGAACGTTTCCATTAATAGTACAATGTGACATGGTGAATGGGAAATCTTTAGGGATATTGAGATCGACGTTTCTGTCCTCGATCCTCTCTCCTTGCGGGGGTTTCGCAGATGACACATCTGAAAGCACAATTCCCAACATGTAAAAAAACGGGAAACAATATTGCCACAGTTGTATCGCTACCGCTAATGTGTGTGTAAGGACAGACAACATGGAAAGGCACTGACCCGATGTGGTGCTATTTCCTGGGTTGGAGGACAGGATGTTGCTCCATTTCTCCCTTTCGGTTATTGTTGGAGCCCAGTAACTCTTCAGGCTGCTCTTGCACCTGTGCCCAGTCACAGACATGATCTCTTTTGATCCAAGACCAGCCTGAGAGAGCAGTTGTACAGCCGTGCTTCTCAAGCTATGGTTTGTGTAGCGCTTTGAAAGCTGGGCTGCCTGGCTTATTGTGGGTAGCATTTGCCCAAGGAAATTATGACCCATGGGCTCACGTAAATACCACACTGATTCACCGTTGAGAAGCTGTTGGTCCTTTTTTAGTGGGTGAAGGTAGAAGGCTTTGGCGTCAGATGGGCACAGGGAAACATACTTTTTGAAGCTGGCAACGGGGCAATTTTGGTTTTCAGGCTCGGTGAAAATAAAACCTCTGTCATTCTCTTTATTCATGTCTTTTGGATCTTTATGATTTTTGGTATCGGCGTTGTGGGCAAGAGATATATATTCGCATCCGTGATCATCAAGTTTCAAAATAAAAGAGCTTTGATTCAAATGTCGATTTCCCTCTCTGCCTCTTCTGGCAAGATGCAGTTGGACATCCATCCACACTTTCCGGACCAGTCCGCCGGCTGTGTTCACAGACAGCGCCTGTGAAGCCCTGAGCAGCCGCAAATCCGCAGCTGAGATAGGCGGGTGGTGCTGGCTGACGTCTTTCCCGTTTTTGCGGAGCTTTTTTACAACAGATGTGAAAACATCGTTGCTTGCTTTAAACGTAGCGCAGTTCATAATGTCAAACCTTGGAAAGTTTCTTGATATCCCTGCCCTAATGCCCAAGTAACTGGCAACTGAATAGGTTTTGCCGTTTGAGGTCTGGACCGTTGCATAAAAGGACCGCAGCTGCGTGTTCAGGGTTTCTGCTCCATAGCTGTCAAACTCTGTTGGTTCTTTTTTTTCAATCAACCAGTCTTTAAATAGTTTCATAGCCCATAATGTGTTCCGTTTTGTATTCAATTCATGCCTGTCCTCTTCAATTTGGTCGATTTCTCTGTCATTCAAATCTCGGTGTCTTTTCGCCTTTCTTACTCCTCCGCTGTTTTCTTGTCCCTCTTGTCTTTTTCTTTTCTTCACTGGGGACTCATCAGCCACTAACCATTCCTCCAAATTACTGTGCTCTCCAAATATATTAAAATTAATGTTAAAATCCTCCATGTTGCTATCACACGACAGCGGAAAACTAAAGACAAGCAGACAGTTTGTTTGCTTTTCAAACTGTTAAATTTGAAAAACAGTTAAATGACCGAACTTCTTTCTGAGCGTCTCTTGTCTTGTCAGTTCGAAAAGCAAACTGCATGCAGTTTGCTTTTCAGCCAAACTGTATACAGTTCAATCGACCGGACTTCTTTCTGCAGATTTGAGCGTCTTTAACAACGGTCATAAATCCTTGACAGCGGTCTGTCTGTTCTGGATTAACAACGTGTCACGTGTTCTGAATTGACCAATCAGAATTGAGTATTCAACTAAGCCATGTAATAATATAAAATATTTACTTGTCAAAACAGGTTATTTTAAGAATTGTTAACAATTTAAAGACTTTGGTAAGGTTTGGTTTGGTTGCGTCGCTCTCAAGCTGTTTGGTTCTGTTATTTGTGGACCATAAGACTTGTTTTTTTTCAAGTGGCAATGTTTAAAACAAATCTTTTTTTAAATCTTCCATGTGTGGGAACCCTTATCTGTGTCCCAACTTCGGCATGGTGGTGACAAAATGCAAACGTGACTCAAACCTTGTCTCGGTTAATGTGTGTGTGAGACTGAAATCAGAGAACAAATTCACAGACAACTGAACAAACATTGCTGTATTTATCAGTTGTGCATCAATTGAGAATGTGAGGAGACAACAAATTAAGTCTGCATTATGGAACATAGAATTATGAATCTGCCAAATGTGTTGATGAGCTTGGATTTTTTCCTTTTACAATTAGGCCAAATTGCACCTTAAGTTTCAGACCAGCCTGGACTTCAGGTCGACTGAAGCACCCACCTTCTCTCTTGGCTCCACCCCGTGCCTTTTTTTCCAAACCCAAAGAATGAATATGCTACTTTTAGCACATTATGAGTGGATTGGTGTCAAGAATAGTAATTGTTTCAACCCTAAGTGCATCCAGGCCCGGTTCTACGGGGGTACATAAGGGTGCATTGCACCCTCAGTTGAGTCGTTATGCACCCTCATTTGAAAAATGAAAAGTGAAAAAAAATAAATAAATAAAAATAAGTGAAAAATATTACATATATAATAATAATAATAATAACAATAATAATAATAATAATAATAATAATAATAATAATAATAGTAGTAGTAATAATAAGAAGAAGAAGAATATAGTTGAAATAAAAAAATTGTAATTGTGGTTAAATAACATTGTCTGCTGCATTTATTTGGTCAATTTAAACGGTAAGTAACGTTATTATGTCAGGTGCGCGTGACCTGTGCCGCTGCACGTTCATCTGCAAGGTGCTTACACAGCACTCAATGATGGACATCAGAAAATTGTTAAAACAACCAGCCCTTATCGCCAGCAGTAACACTGCATCTACTGCAGGTAATAACAGTTCAGATCATGGGGACATTACGTTACCCGCGGCCACTGTCGTGGACACTAACGTCCTCCCGCCCGACTCGCCCACGGAGGCGGAGCAGCCGCAGCCGCCTTCGTTGCCCCAAACACCACCACCCCTTCAGCGGCCCGCAAGTGCCAGAGGACCTCGGCAAAACAGAGCCTGCCCACATATATTAAAAAAAGTACCCAACTCGCCTGTACAGTGGGGTAAGGCGCTCATTTTGCAGCTCATGGTTTCAAAATAGAGATTGGCTAGAATATTCATGTAAAAAAGATGCCATCTTCTGCTATGCATGTAGACATTTAAAAGGGGAGTGATTTGTAAAATATCCATAAAGAAAAAGTACATCTGTTTACAGTTCTGTTTCATATGGATGTTGAGATGTATCCATAGATCTCTTCATTTTTCTCTCAAAGTGCACCAGATTGATGGTTTTAACTTCAATATTTAAAAAAAAATCTTCCCGGGGGAGCATGCCCCCGGACCCCCCCTAGAGGAGGTGAGGAGCCCCCTAGAGGAGGTGAGGACCCGCCTAGAGGGTGATCGGTCCACTCCCCACTAAAAAAAATAGCACTTTACCACTGCACCCTCTCTAATCTCAGATGCACCCCGAGTCATTTTGTTCTGGAACTGGGCCTGAGTGCATCTGATGCTGGGAAAAGAACAAAGACATGACAACACACCAACAAATCACAGGAAAAACACATTTGAAGAGCGTCACAAAGATGAATCAGCATCAGCAGGGGACTGTAACATGTGCAATAGACGGTAACAGTGGCCTAGTTGGCAGGCCAGGAAACTGTATGTGTGTGTAAGAATAATACAAATAAGGAGGCACAACATGACATGAGAAGAGAGGGAGTGAAGTGGAGGACTTGGAGGAAAATGGAGGAGGATTAATGTGATGAGAGATGTTGCATAAAAAGAGAAGCATGAGGAGTGGCAAATCATGAACTACATCCAGATTCCACATGATTTACATCCAATGCCAACGTTCAGTGCCAATGCAGGAAGTACAGCGTAATTTCTTCAGCTACTTTCACCCACTCGCTGCAAAAAGGGGAACCATAAAACAGTACCATTAAGGTTGTATTTCTTTGTATGGTGGAGAGTAAAGTGCGTAGTGCCATTGAGCACACACCTTTTGGAGTATTATGAACTTAAAAAATGTCAAGATCTGAATTCCATAACCAGACATCTCACTTCATGTTTCTGTAGTCAGTTTGCTTCAGTTCCTCTTATAGCCAGACGTTGACAGTCACACCACCAGCATGTGATATGTTTATTTTCTCTTTCATTATAAGTATATGATAATGTTATGAGATGTTAAAGTCTTAGAGAGACATGAACCAAACCATAGCTCCTTCAAATACTCCACATTAAATATTTAATTTTATATATATTTAATTCTGAGGCATTAGAGAATATTGTGAGAGAGAAAGTTATCTGCACATATTTATCAACTGTTTTAGCTTCCTGTTCTATAAGGGCGTGGTTTATGACGTTGATCTATTTATAATAACTTCCTTCCAGACAGCAACACAAGTAGATCAGAGTGCTGTGCTACACGGAGAGAAGCACTGTTTAGGAATATGTATTCTAGGTGTTATAGTTGACACGCTATAGAGAAACAGGATTTTCTTAACCATCTTTTGGGGTTTAGAGGTAAGGGCATTTGTAACTTGGATTTATTAGTTTCAGACAGACTGACAGGTAGTTAAATGTTTAGGTTTAATGCGAAGAAAGGTTCAGAGAAAGCAAAGTCCACTTGTAATATAGTCAAGTGTTTGTTAGTTACAGAAAAATGACTGTCTCATAAATCCTGTTTCCTGACATGCTGCTGAACTTTGAGCTGTTGGCACATGATAATATTGTCTGACAAAAGAGAGCTATGAATGAGCACCTGCTTAAAATACTGATTATTGGTGATGGAAATGTTGGAAAATCCTCGTTTTTGCATCGCTACGTCAACGGACAGTTCAACAAGACGTATAAGATGACAATGGGAGGTAGGGCTGTTTTATTTCATCAGTGTTCTGTAGAAAATGTGACTGTGCAGTATCTCAATGTGGATTTATGGCAATGTTTTTTTGGTACCTGAATCAGGTTTTCACCTGATAATGGCAATTTGATCTCACGGTTGATTCAAATAGTCTATTTCTATTTAAAGAGAGCATAACAGAAAGTAAAAGAAAAGAGCATACAAGAAGGTGTGTTGTGTTCATTGAAGCTTTAACACTGGCAAACATGCAACTAAGTGAGCTCAGGTTATATTAAACCTAAGCAACAAACTAATTGAAGAACAAATCGTGATGACACGAGGAACACATGAAGCAAATCCACAAGGGACAACTAGAATTTATCCAGGGAATGAACACACTCAGGAAACACCGCAGAACCACAGGACACAACGGGAACATTGACCGGAAACGTTTAAGAGACACAGCTGGAGAGGGCAGGCAAAAATGAAAAAAAATAAGACTCAAGGAGACTGTTCTACAAAATAAAACAGGGATATAAAAAATCAAGTTCATGAGAAAATGCAAAGAATATACATAAACAAGGTCTACTCAATAATAATACATTCATTTAATGTATAAAAGCAGTTCTATATTGTCAATGGATATTCTTGTTTCATACTAAATAAGTGCTTGCTGATGTCCTATTGGACAAGGCAAGGTAAAAAAAAAAAGCTATAATGGCAGCAATTGACAGGAAAAAACAAATAAACATTGTGTTTGTCCTTTTCTTAAAGGTCACCTATTATGCAAAATCCACTTTTCATGTCTTTTATACATAAACATGTGTCCCCTCTGTGTAAAGAGATTCTGAAAGTCTCAGGAAAAAAAGATTTGCTCACTTTTTGTCCTGATCCATTTATATAAAAACCTGTCTGAAAAGGAGCTGATCAGATGTTTGTCCACTTTATGATTTAATAACGATTGTTTGGCTTGTGTAACCATTAGCCAATCACCAACCAAGGTAAGCTTTCACAGCAAACGATGCTGGCTTACCAGGATGTTTGATATGTGGAGAAGTTGTCAAAGGTGCTGCAGCCTTTACGTAATGGAGGAAAAACACGGAAGAGGAAGACGGCTGACTTCAGTCATAATTCAATCAGTTAACTCTTTTTAGGGTGCAGCTATAGGTTTTATTTATTTCAAAGTGGGCCCATTTTAATTATATTCATTTTCTTCAAATGTGCAGAAGACTCCCCAAGTGCTGTGTTGATTTATTTTAAAGTAGGCCTGTGTATTTTTTTTAATTCTCCTTATAAGAGTTCTTTGTTTATTATTAGAGGTAAACAGTTTTCTATAATGTAATACATAATAAATGCAAAAAAACTGTAGTTTTTGTCTATGATGTAACAATATATACAACTTTATAAGCTATCAAGCTATCAAATATGTTTTGCGGCTCCAGACAAAACAAATTGGTGGAAAAGGGGGCAAAATGGCTCTTTTGGTCAAAAAGGTTGCAGACCCCTGATCTAAAGTAACAGACAGGGAATCAGCACTTTTGAAACAGGGCTGAAACAGAGGGGATTATGGGATGCTACAATGATCTGTTTGGTATTTGGAGCCAAACACTTCAGAGACATGTTTTGTACATTTCTGAGACCTATACTATATTGATAAAAAACAGTATAATAGGGGACCTTTTAATACTATCCATAGTCCAGCATTAATGCACAGCAATAGCAAAAATGGCTTGGTGATTTCCTAAACATATTTTTGAGCTTTGAGTAAAACTGGAGTAAATGGTGGATTGGATGGAGGCAATTGTTGCCTTCTAATGTGAGATACATTGGTTGCTCTGGTGATTTACTGCTCGACCTCAATGTATTTTCGGTCTTCCCCAATCGGATTCAGCAGAAGGCGATAAACAGATGGTTTGTCGAATCACCTGCCAAATGTTTTTAGAAACCTGCTCTTTTCCAACAGTTGTATATGACGGCTTCTCAGATACCCACCCCAGCAACAGCCTGTTCACCCTGCTGCCATCTGTTCAATTTACTGATTCTTGCATGTTTTGCATTTTGATAAACAGTTTTACAGAGTATTATCCTGCTCCTCTGCCACATGTTTCGCTAAGGATTGTTTGAGTAAACTTCTCTCTGAGAGTAAAAGTATTGAATTGGAGAGTTCATCTGAGGGTTTTTTTTCCCCCTGTTTTTTTAAATCTGTAAAACACACATTTCTTTCTCCACTTCTGTTTTTTTACTCTTACTTCTCGCTTCTTCTTTTTTCTCGACAAAATGTTTTTCTTTTTCTCTAGTGGATTATGCTGTGAAGCTGCTGCACTGGTCAGATAAAGAAAAAGTCAGACTCCAACTGTGGGACATCGCAGGTACAAAACGTTTTTCAGCATACGGATTAGTGGAAAGATGCGTGGGTGACTTAATGAACTCTGTGTCTTCCCTCCAGGCCAGGAACGTTTCATATCCATGAACAGGGTCTATTATAAGGGTGCGCTGGGCTGTGTGGTGATGTTTGACGTCACCAGCTCAGCCAGCTTCCTCAGCTGTCGCCATTGGAAACGGGACCTTGACAACAAGGCCATGCTTCCCAACGGAGAATCCATCCCCTGCATCCTGCTGGCCAACAAGGTCTTTTTTATGTCTTAAAGGGTGTAGGATTCACAGGGAAATGGAATATAATTACCTGTTTTGATTAGTGCATATTCACCTGGAACTAAGAATAGGTGTTTTTTTGTGCCCTTTTTTACACTACCTTAAGGCCACGTAGTTCTCCGATACGCCTGTAAAACTGTGGTAACGCCGCCACCGACTGAATTACTTTCCTCACAAAGTAGTATTATGCTAAGGGTGGCCTCTGAGCGATGTGAAGGTCATCAAGGTCATGTTATGTCATGTATCTAATTCATGACATTACTTCTTCCCTATCACAAATCCAGCTGTAACAGAAGTAACAATGTCATATCTACATGTGGCAATTTGTTCATGCGGAAAAAATTCAGTTCTGTTATGTATTATTGGTGTGACTTTTGAGGTTTAAAGGTTTTGTATTGACCGTATTGTAGAGATCCATGCTGCACACATACAGGTTAAACCATTTCACATCATATTATCATAGCAAGATAACCCTGGATGGGACACATTTGATTTTTAATAAACCACAGCTAACACAATACATTAATGCAACCTCAGCAGGTCAAGCAAGATCCTGAAACCCTCACCTCACAACAACAAAATGACTTCCTGCCCCTCTCTCTGTCTCTCTCTCTGCAGTGTGACCTCCCTCAGCGGGTCGTGCCCCCAGACAGCATTGACAGGTTCAGTAAGGCCAACGGCTTCATTGCCTGGATGGAGATTTCGGTCAAAGAGAACAAGAACGTTGGTGAAGCTATGAGGTAACAAAAAAAGATGAAACTTAAAAGAGTACAGGGTTCAGGGGATGCATTGTACACTGAACTCTTAGAAATAAGGATTCCAAATAGGTTCTTCCTGTAATGCTGAAGTTCTACAAACCCATAACCTTTCCTTCTGAAGAACATCTTTTTTAAGGCCAATTTATTAAAAGCTTTGGTTAAAGCCTTGACAGATCATGAGTTTTCAAAGACAGATATGACAAAGTGGGAGCAGTAGCCTTTGTGTTCACTGCTACAGGCCAGTACTGAATCGTACTTAAAGGTAGGGTAGGTAAGTTTGAGAAACCGGCTCGAGATCGCTAGAATTTGAAAATACACAACCGGAGAAAATCTGCCACTTCCTTACAGAGCCCCTCCTCCAACACACACGAACGTGCACATGACCAATGAGGGCACGAGATAAGTTTGTGCACAGATGGAAGGCTGACAGGCAGGTAGGCCATCCAGTTATTTTAGCCGGGCCGGCTAAAATGATTGGTCGTACTTTTTACAGTATTACGGCTTCCACAGATGACATGTTTTTATGGATTTTTTGTCAAAGCACTTAAGATATTCATTGCTATCGGGATGTTAAGAGCATTCCATGGAATATAACAAAAAGTGTATCTCGAGCCGGTTTCTCAAACTTACCTACCCTACCTTTAACAGTGACAAAGGGTATTCAACACATTCTTTTTAAATAACTCTCAGGAGTGATGTATTTGATGTTGAAGGTTTGCAAAAGCATTGAATTAAGCAGGATATTGGGCCCAATGGTGCTGGTTTTTGTTTTTTATGAAAGTTCCATCAGCAGAGAAACATGAACACAACTGATGAAGGACTTATGCTTCAAAGCATGCTTTTTCAACCCTAGTAGCCTGAAAAGGGATTTATTTAGTTGGAAACCTTGATGATTCATGATATTCATATAAATCAGTACATCTGTTGTATTTCAGGAGATTGGTGCAGGAGATTTTGTCTGTGGAATCTAGTCTTGATTCGCTACAACCCAAACCTCAAGAAATCGTTAATCCTCAACTGGACTCGGTGTGCGACGGAGGAGCAGGATGCTGCTGAAACACAATCAAAAGGACAAGCAAACAGCCGGGACCCAATCCTACACTCAAGTTGTTTCAAGGGCCACTGAACAATGCACTTAACCCTCAATTACTGAGGGAGGCTTTCTGCAAATAGAAGATGACAGTGGAAGCACCAGGAGATGTCGATGTAAGTGGGGTATATTGATGCTGAGCAGATCTTCAGTGTCCATGTGTGAGCTGGCAGTGATCTAAGAGGACACTTTAAGTGGGATGAGGAAACAACACACGTGTTTCTCATTTTGGACGTACGAAAACAAATGAGTGTGAAAGCAACGCCACCGGTTTAACTGTCAAAAAGACTCAATAAGGATTCATTAACTCTTTTTCTAGCCAATTAAAGCCTGTTTCAGGATCTAAAATAATTTGACGTAAACATGCCCGGCCCCTGCACAACTGAATTTATAAATAAAATATTTCTAATGTTTTCCCCCCAATGGTTTTACTGATGTTTGTGTTTTGGTATAACAGTGTATAGTTGGTTTTGTTATGCCAAACATTTATAACATAATTGTTGCTAAAACCAGAGAGCCACCACAGAAGCTATAGACAGTGTTTCGATGTGTCCAAGTTGTGTTTTTGTCACTCTTGCCATACTGCTTTTCCTTTTTTTTTCCATTTTACATAAATGAAAAACACAGTGGGTCCAGTTAGAAGAAGTGTGAAAATGTGGATTTAATTAAAATAGTACTTTAGAACATGGTATCAGGTAGATTATGGATTACAGGAATTTGTTGGACATATTACAAATGTAATTTTACCGCTAATGGTAGCTAAATCCCGGGACCCGTCGTTAATGTTTTTACTGGCCACTCCTCAGTAAAGTTGAAGCCACTTTCCTGAACTGTCCTCTGTCCCTACATTGCGAAGGTAAAGAGAGTGAAAAATTATTCGATTATTCATCCAGTGATTCTTATTGACTTACTTATTGACAAAGTGTATTGGGATCTTCCTTGACCCATGCATGCATTTTGTTGTTATCCTTTTAGACAAACACGTAATCCTTTTTATTTTGAGTAGCCTACATTCTGGCAATTATTTCTCCAGAAAACACAGTGTGCACTGTTGGGTCAGGAGAAGGAGGAGGATGTTGTGAAGAGAAACAGACGGAGCAGATGGAAAGGTTGTCTACAGTTGTTAAAAAGTGTGAGAACGAGGCGTAGAGCGTGCTCAGTGCAGCCGGCAGGTCTCCACCTCCAACAGGCTGAGACACATGCGTTGTGTGTACATGTGTGAGTGCATGCATAAACACTGTTTGGTGTCAGGTTAATTGTGTGTAGTTGTGTTTGTGTGAATAATTAAGATCAGGGCACATGCGTGATCATGTGCCCTGAGAGTGTCAAATGCTCACACACATGCTGTCGACATTCTTCCTCTCAATTGTCGGCGTGAGCTTTGTGGGTAAATTCCCACAGTTTTAAGTATTTTTGAGGAAAATATTATAACCAAGTATGTGCGGTTTGAATCATTACAATAATCTCCAAAGCAATTTTAGACCCACAAAGTATTGTTTAAATTGGATTCTCAATGGACCCCACACAGTGTTGTGTGAGGTTTGTAGGGTTAACAATATCTGTTTTGTCTTAAAACATGTACAACAAGCTTTATTGAAAATAGTAAGGATAAAATGTAAGTTGTGAAAAATGTAGCCTTTGCTCAGTGTCCATAGAGAAAATAAATGGGACTTCATAATTGTACTGTTTTGATACTGGACACTAAGGAGAGTTTAATGAATTTAAAAGTGGCCATATAGCATACAGGTAAAACTAAGGTAAGATTGTGGGGCCAGATGGCATTTTGTCTTTGAAAAAAACACTTGCTGTTGGAACATAAAGTACATTTATTAGAGCTTGTTTGATATATTAATTATTAAGTAAAGATGGTATTTTGACCAGCATGATGCTAGAGGAAAGGTCAGGTGGTGACAGGATGTATTCTAAGGGGCACATTCGTGTTCAAGCTTTGCTCTGGAGACAAATGTTGGACGGATGGATGTAATTTTGTCTTTGTGTAGGCTTCTTTTCTTGTCATTGAATTGGATGTCGGCTTTGACTCGGTCCTCCACATATTGATAATCCTGGAGATCCCTCAAGATGTTCGGCAGATGGAGTTTTGTCATTGTGCTCAGGAAGTAACAGTCACTGCACAATAAGTATGTCACCGTGCCTCGCTCATAATATTCTTTTATCTATTTATATAATATTATCTAAAGCTTCAATTTTTCGGGGGACTCGGGTGAAGTAAAGGAATCTCTCAGTGTTTAGATAGTTAACTTTAGTCTAGTTATCTCAGTGGGTCTCAAACGGTTTGGTCACCATTTATGTAAATAAGTATTTCCAAGGCACACGTTTATATGATCAGTATACAAAAATAAGAGCATAAATGAAGAACAGTTCTGAAATATGGCAGTAAAACAGGAATACAGTTTAAAAGGGGAGTGATTTGTAAAATATCTATGAAGAAAAAGTACATCTGTTTACAGTTCTGTTTCATATGGGTGTTGAGAGATGTATCCATAGATCTCTTAATGTTGCTCTCAAAGTGCACCAGATTGATGCTTTTAACTTCAATATTTTAAAGAAAATCTCCCCGGGGGAGCATGCCCCCGGATCCTCCTAGAGGAGGTGAGGACCCTCCTAAAGGAGGTTAGGTTCACTCCCCACTTGTAAAAATAGCACTTTACCCCTGATTACACCATATGCCGTGAGCTGATTATCGAGCAACAGTCGCGGGTGTCCTGTGCGTGTGGGGAGTGTTGCAGTAGAAAATTCAACTGTAGCGCTGGTGCATTAATGGGAAACCCTAAATGTTTGAGCACCCTCTATGAAACGTCAAGCTACCCCACAGCACCCCCTAGAGAAAATCTCTGGCGCCGCCACTGTGTATGCAGAAGCATTTGTTATATTCCATGGAATGCTCTTAACATCCCGATAGCAATGAATATTTTAAGTGCTTTGACAAAAAATTCATATAAAAATATCATCTGTGGAAGCCGTAGTACTGTAAAAAGCACGACCAATCATTTTAGCCGGCCCGGCTAAAATAACTGGATGGCCTACCTGTCTGTCAGCCTTCCATCTGTGCACAAACTTATCTCGTGCCCTCATTGGTCATGTGCGCGTTCGTGTGTGTTGGAGGAGGGGCTCTGTAAGGAAGTGGCCGATTTTTTCCGGCTGTGTATTTTCAAATTCTAGCGCACTCAAGCTGGTTTCTCCAAAATGACCTACCCCACCTTTAAGTCATGGATGTTTAAAGTTCATATTTGTCTAATATTAGTTTACTTTTCATTAATGAAGTATGACGCTGCGCTGTCAGTAGGCTACACTTGTCCCTGTTTGTGATTGGTCAAATGTAGCTAACCCCGCCCCTTTCACATGAACGCGCTCTCAGCTGGAGCGAGAAACCCTGGCTTGATTTACCGAGTTGATAACCAGCGTCGTAGGACCGCTTAGCGAGATCTCGTTTGTTTTGGGTTAGTTAAGATAACTCAAACATATCCAGGGTATGTTGAACTGGCTTCATAGAACAGGGCACAGGTGGCTGCATAGCAGCGCTAATGTCAAAGACACAAACATTATACATTATATTTTTATTTTACCAGGATGCGACAAAAATATTTGGGAAGGCTTAGCCTTCCCTAGCCTACAGTACCCGCCAGGAAATGGCCATGACATGGGACCTTTAACACAGAAACATAATAACATATAGTTCATACTCTTGTGAGGTAAAGTAGAATCTGCCTGAAGGATTTAACAGGAACAAACATATGGTGCAGGTTGGTTAATAGGGTTATGAACTTATGATATGAACTAAAATAAAAGATGGAGGAGAACAACATTTTAAATAGTGTGGTTAAAGCTGCAACGATAGATTATATTCAATATGAATTGTCAGAGAATTTTCTTTAATGAGAAAATGTGATTATTTGTGGCCTATTACAGCTTTGTGCAATTACCAAGACACAAACTGGTGCTTTTGGCACAATTATTGAAACCACAAACTCAAGTTGCCTTTCATCTATTGAACAGATATACTAAATCATAAGCACATTGTCTGCTCTACACTAAGTTTGATATTCCAAAATACACTTTTTGCAAATAACTACACGCTCTTATTAACACTAGTTACGTTATTCAAAACCGACAGCCTGTGTGTTGTTTGCTAAACACTGCCATTGAAATAACACACTCAATCATCAAACCCCTGCCCCCATGCACATGTTAAAAGCCATGTAACCAATTAGATCACTTAGAAATCTGAGCTTGAACACTTTGTTGTGCACAACAATGGAGGCCAATTTTGGAGAGTGGGGCCCGTTCTCATGTCTTCAAATGTCCCTCCTCGACTCCCCTCCTCGACTCCTATCCTCGAGACTTAGTCCCGCCCACAGGAGATGCGAACGGAGGAGCCGAGGAGGGGAACCGAGGAGAGAGGAGGGGAAGCAGCAGGCGGTTAGAGAAATGAGAACTCCTCTCCTCTGAGTGGTCATTTTAAAGAGACGTCCATTAATGATGACAGGAGGCACAGCAGCCCTCTGTCTGATGGACAGATGTGTTCATGACGACTTATATATTTATATATATATATTATACAATAACAGGCTACAGATGCGGACACACACACACACACATACACACACACACACATATATATATTTATATATATATTTATATAAATGTATACAATTTCAGAATCAAACAGAGCACTCTCATAATAACGTAACACTATCAGAGACTGGATATATCCCCCCCCCCCCCCTCTCTGGTCGCTACAATGAGGGAAATAAATGATGGGCCAAAAGTTTTATTTACAAGTATTACAAGTAAGCAGAGGACACCAAACCAACTGAGACCTGTCTGTCCGCTGCATCTACGCACACACTGTACCACACACACCTACACCACACACACGCACCTACAGCTCCTAAAGCATATAATCAGACTACAGCCGTTGTGTATTTTATGATGTGAAGCATTATTATTTGTAGATATCTACTAAACTAAAGCAAATAAAGAGAGTAGGCCTGTTATACTGAGTGATATGATATATATTATACACACTGCTCTGCTTTCTGCACGGACCTCACAGCTGTTCTCACTGTAAACATCGCGTCGCGATGAAAGCAGTTAATAAAATAATATCCAGGGGATGCATGCAGAGCTGTCATTGGCTGAGATAAGTCCGGTCGTGCGTCTCGACTCTTTGAAACATCACTGTTGCCGGAAATGCATCCACGAAGGAGCCGTGGAGGACCGTGGAGGACCCATCAGTGTATCCTCGGTTATAGCTCCTCCAGAGAGCCTCCTCGACGCTCGATGCTCGGTCCTCGATGTGCATTTCGAGAAATGAGATGTCCTTCAACATGGCGCGCTAAAATTCATTTCCGGGTCACTACCGAAGGACCGAGGAGTCGAGGAGGGACATTTGATGACATGAG